AAAAAAAAAAAAAAAAAAAAAGCCCAGAAAGAAAATACTTAATAATGAAATTCCAGATTTTTCGAAAGCAAGGTTTCTCGAACGACAGGAAACAAGACGTTCCTCGCGAATTCTTTTCAAACGGCATTTCCTGCTATTTCTAAGCCTCGCCGCACCCGGGGATACTGAGCTCTACGAAGATCTCCCCAGCTCGCACCCATTTTGACGTAACTAGGTAATTTATGTATTATTTTGGTATAACTAAGGATCTCCCCCCCCACTCCCCTTGAGATACCAACTAACACCACACCCCAAAAGCCCACTTAAGAGGGTAAGAGGGCGCCTATCAACACATAAGAGAGAGCAGCCGTCCCTCATGATACTCACGCCATGGTTGCAGATGCCGGGGATGTGCTGAGGCCGCCGCCGCTGCTGCTGCGCCTGCTGCACTGGCCGATGCCGCCGCTGGCCCTGCCGCCTTAAAGAGCCATGGCGGCCAGGGGAGGGGGGGTTGCTCGTATCCGCGCCGCGCGGGAGGTGCTGCGCACACGGCCACCACAACAACCTCTGCGCTCGGGGACAGGAAACAATGAGGTGGCAACGGCGGTGCTCTGCTCTTATATATGAGTCGTATTACCAAGCGAGCTGCGGTCGTGAGATATCCTTCCGCCAAGCGTCACCTGCCTGTCACCAGCACCTAGCGGCCTGTGGCCTGTCTTTCTGGGCTTCTCTCCTGTCGTTCTGGTAAGAGTTAAACACAGGGGTCGCCGACAAGACGGCTTGTCACAGGACACCACAGCTACACGGCGGGGCAGTAGCGGAGGGACTATATGATGTATACATGCGCGCTTGACACCCATTCGGGCGCGACGGAGCCACGTGACCGGAGCGAATGAGGACACTCCCTCCGCCCCCCCCTGCCCGGGAGCGTTGGGGGGGAAATTTTACCCGCCAACAAAGACGCGGAGCTCGCGCGGAAGACGTCACGCAGCTCGCCACGTGGGAAGGGCGGCGCTCATTGGCTACGGGCGAGTCGTTCACGTGCCCCGTGAGCTGTTATTGGTCAGGGCCCGGAGGAGACCAATGCAGAGGGGAAGGGGGGAGAAGGAGTATGGGGGGGCGGGGGAAATGGCGGCCGGACAGTGGCGGGGGGAAGGAGTAAGGATGATGCTGGCAGCGGGTCGAGAACGAGCAGCCGGGCGGGAAAATTGTGCCCGTCCATGGCAGCCCTGCGTTTCCCCTAACATGCCCCTTTCGAAGCAGTGTGTGCTCCCCACTTTGATGTCCAACGGCCCCTTTGGCTGCCCACACAAAGCCCCGCTGAGGTCAGGCGGGTGCTGGCGGCTGTGGCCCAGGCTGAGGGGCTGGCATGGCGCTCCTGAGGCGGCGGCAGCCCGCCATGGCTTCCTGCTCCCTTAGATAACGCGCTGCCTTCCCTCCCGGCCTGCCCCACCCACGGAGCGCGTAGATTAGGGGCTCTCGGGCTGTGTTGGTGTGCGTGCAGGAGGGAGTCTGCCCGGAGCCTGCCGGCCTGACAGCGGCCGTGGCACCGCAGCCACGCTGAGAGGCGCCTGATGTCCCCGGCTGCAGAGCCGCGCCGCCGGGCAGCGCAGAGTATCAGTCTAACTAGTGCCTTCAGCCCATTTGCAAAGGCTGAAAATGAAGTTGGTTATTCCACAGCTGAGGAGTGAGAATGTCCTCTCCCGCCACGCAGTTTCATGCTGATGCAGTTGCTTCTCTGTTCTCTGTGCAGAAATCACTTGACTGATGTGAGCATTAATGGATCACCTATAGAGCCTCGCGGCTACAAAGGGCAGTGTCACCTTGGATAGCTTTCAAAGTGCGGTTTTGTGTTTTATCTGATCCAAATCACCTTGCTTCTAGGAAAGAAGTCAGACCTCTTCCCCCACCCCGTCCCTGCTAAACAGTTCCACCAGCTGGGCTGGCCCCCACAGAGACAGCCCACAGCAAGAAACTCACAGGGGTCAACAGCTTTCCACTGGCTTCAGTTCCTCCATTACCCTTTCAGTCGGGTCACACAAGCACTGGACAGCTCCAGTGAACTGAGTGTTTCAATACCTGTGTCATTCCTCACTGTGTCAGAATTACCCAGCTTCTAAAGATCGATTTCCACTTTGCCAGCCTCACAGCACCATCGGCTCTGAGAGCTGCGGTGGAACCTTGCTTGTTCAAATATCATCATCCTGCAACTCAGCTTCCTCTCAGCTACTTCTGCAAAAGGCTCTACTATTTTCCAGTTAAGGCCTCAGTAGTATTTGTGTAAAGCCATAGCCTTCACTGTATTTGCTCAGATCTAACTGCCTAGAATGGCTTCAACAACTTGGCTGATGATTTGCAAGGATGGAGTGTGACCCAATTTCTACTTTTAGCAGTATGGTCTTAGCACTGTCGCTACAAAGCAGAGTGTGTTGTTCCACATCTGTAATATGAACAGTGGCTGCTAAATTAAAAAGGACAGTTTTCCCTACATGTTGGTTTGTTGCTATTTTATTTTGGTTGGTTGGTTTTGGTTTTCTTTCTTCCTTTGCACAGAATTTGAGATGACTCATTAAAATAGAGAAGGCAGAGAAAAATGTCCTCCAATGCCAAAAAACACCACCATAGCAGCTGAGCAGTCTGAGATAACTGTTCTGATAGATACGCTACAGAGGAGGCAGGTCTTGCTTCAAAGGAAAATTGAGAGCACGCAGCAGCTTTTAAATAAGCTGAGTGGGTGATTGGATGGGTGGACAGCACTTCCATGTCCTCACTGGCTAAGGGAGAGCTCTCACATCCACTGCTGTGCCTGCCTTCCCCTCCTTTAAGTGAAAAGGGTGATTGTATGACCATAATAGCAGCTAAACAAACAGAAATGCACCCAATATATATATACACCCAATCCTTCATCATGAAAAGGTAATTATAGATTTCTCTGAAAGGACTCTGGAAACATGTGCGCAAGAATCACGTAAGCAGAAATGAAGCATGCAATGAGGAACTTAACCCAGATCTGCTTGTTTCCTAGCTGCCTGCTTTCCCTTTTGTGTGTGAACTGAGGTGGAAATTTGTCTGTTTTATGAGTTCCAGACAGATTTTCTGTAACAGTCTCCAATCCAGAAAGTGAAATCAAGTAACCAGGAGTCAGCCATTTAGAGAAAAGCATATTTTTCCCTGTTTGCTGCAGGATTGCAGAATAGCTGTTGTTAAATCATTTCATGACCTACCTAAAATCCATATTTCTTTATAAATTATCTTTCTTCTTTTGCAGATATTATGTCAGAGATATCTCCACTGTGGCTAGATTTTTTTAACCAAGGTAGAAGACACTTTTTTAAGCACAAATAACATTTCTTGGGAATTTTTGTACAGAAAAAATTACAAATATTTTCTAAGCACAGGACTACTAGCTACTCTTTGTTAACTCAAAAGTGTCTAAAAAAATAATTTCTTTCCAATATTACATAATAGATTTGTGGGTCAGAGACTGAGCAGCTCTGAAGAAAATTTAGCACCAAAAGGTGGCTTCTGAGGGAACACAAATTTGTGTGCATGGTGAGTGAAATCCTGCTGTCACGTTAACTTTATAACATCCAGCTTTATCACTGTGGACACTATTTTCCTGCTCTGGGCAGCAAAGGGAACTCCTGGGACAAGTAAGATCCATTCTGACACAGAAACGAGGGGCCAGCTGCAGGAGAAAGGAGCTGCTTTTCCAGAGCTCACTGCAGGAGAGAGGCCAAGGGTCTGTCTGGGTAAACAATGAAGTGCCCTGATAAATCCAGCAGCACAGAGAGCCACCTCCAGCCAAAAAGCATCACCAGGAGGTGGAAAACTAATACTCCTCCATTCACCCTCCTCCTTCATCATGATGGAAGGTCAATATATGGGCTTCAATAATCTCTTTGGTTTGTTGGTTTGGTTTTTTTTTCCCCTTTTTAAAGTAAACATTGCAAAGGAAAAGCGGTTTTCTTCTTCCACCAGCAAGAACACAGGAGGCAAACATGCTGAATGCCGTTAGGAAGCACACCAAAGACCGAGAGGACGTAAATGTTTCCATAGTAACATCCCCTCACACAGTCTAGACTCACTGCTTAGGATGCTCTCAGGGACTGTCAGTGGCGGAGAAGCTCGTGGGCCTCTGCAGCAGGGGAGCAGGGGTGGTGGGAGGGGTGGGTATCGCTGGGGCCAGGAGGGGAACCAGCAAAAGTAACAGAGACAGAGATGTCTGCACTTCTCCGGAGTGATGGGAAGGTGGGCTGACACTGCACTGGGACAGTGCACGATGGCCGTGGTGGCACTGGGCAGGCAGCTTTGGGCCCCCACTGAGCCTCAGTGCCCTGGAGAAGGAGCAGATGGGTTTTCTGCTGGCCCTGGACTCTGCTGGGGTGGCTGGGGAAGAGGGGGCACTGCCTGCTTTCCAGAAGGGTGAGTGTGAGGGCAAGCCCCAAGGGGATTTTTGTGAGGGAAAGCTTGAGTCCTTTGAACCTTCCATCTGGAGGAACAGGAAGCCTTACCCCACACTTCAATGAACAAAGCATTTCCAGAGACTAGCAGGAATTTTTCCTAGAGACAAGAATGCTGAGGAAAACACAAGGGAAGAATGAGGCAAAGCAGAGAGACATTTTGAGCAATTTTGAGGGAAAATTTCCTACAATCTCTATGGCACAGACTAATTCACAGTGCTTGCTTTCTTCTCTCCTCATGTGGGTACGAACAGATACCTGAAAGATCTTTTCTGCCAGATTCTCATTGTAAGCTCCTTAGGGATTGCTTTATAGGTGTTCCATTTTAAAACTAGATCAAAAAGCAAATATATAAGATTAAAGATCAGTCTGGGAGGTATTAACATCCATCTTTTATTACATACAAAATAAGTTATCCATATGCTCTGCCTCATTTGTTTTGGACTAGTACACCGAATGGAATCTCTAATAAATCATTCACTACTTACCCACCTCCTCACTGTCTTCTGTTTCCATTCTGCTATGTAAATATCCCTGACATTAGAAATGAGACTAATAAAAAAGAGGATTAAATCTGCAATTTACATTTGCAGCTTACAGTTCAATTATTTCACACAGTTATGGAAAGAACCCTGCTTGTCCACCTACATTTTTCTTACTGAACAAACTCGGGCATGTCAAGCACATGCCGATAGCTCACAAAATACGTGTCTCCAGAGGCTTAGTTACTCAGAATCAGCCATGCTGCGGCCAGCTGCCACAAGTAAAAACATTGTGCAAATCTGGTAAGAGGGAGGTGAGTTGTAACTTGCCCAAGCATGAGTTTCCTAAGCAAAGCTACAACTGGCTGAAAATGATGTTTACCAAAAAATATGCTTGGAGGAGGGAGAGGAAGGGGTACTGACTTTTGTTCAGACCACTGGGGGATATTTTTAGTTGTCTCATTGTCCAGTCTTGTTTTATTATGATGAGAGGACTTGGGGGTCAAGAATAATCCTTTATGTTCATTAGCACATGTGGGCTCAGTTTAGCACACAAACAAAAGCCTTCCAGTTATCCAAGCAATAAAAGAACAGGAACACATTTCATGTCAACTGTCATCCTTCATGGGCCTATTGCTGATGTGACCCCCCCTCTGCAGACTGTGTGCTCAGTGTGTATCAAAAATGTACCAACATCTGCTGGAGTCACATGTGCCAGGTGTCTTGTGCCTTTCTGTTCAAAAGGATTAAGAGGAGGGTGACAATGCACGCTGCTTATTTTGTAGCAGTGTGAAGTTAGCAAGAGCTGAGCCTGACAAGTAGGTACGGATTATGAGACTCCAGTATCTCGGCCCAGACACCAGTAAGTGAGTTAACTTCACTGGAGCGCTCTTTTGGTGTCTCAGTGCCCCTTAGCCCGGTCAGCATGAGGGCTCCTTGCTGTACCAGCCCAGCAGCAGTTACACTGCACTCCTGAACCTGGCACCCAAGCCAGCAGCTTCAGCTGAAGCAGGTGGAAAGGTTATTTGGGCTTATTTCAGCCTCTCTGTTCAGTGAGGGGGGGTGCACAGTGAAAGGATGATACCAGGCTGTGCTCTGTATGCTCCTTTGGGGGATCTGTTTTTCACTTTGTGTTATTTCAGAGTGTTTTGATGAGGCCAGAAACAGAGACTGTTGCACAGGTGTACCCTATGAGTGTAATAAAACAGAGTTCTAGGGATCTTCTGGGTGTGTGAGAGATGTCTTTGATGCTGGCAGGCAGCTTCAGCAAGAACACTGACACAGGTAGTTCAGATGAATCTCTGAAACTCATTTGAGGATAAGTCACTGTTGAGGCTGTAGCTGCCTAGGTCCCTGGGGAGGAACACTGCAGCCATTATTCAGTAATAATTTTCCACTCTCCATAGGCAGCAGCTGCTCAGTGATTTACCAGCAGACTTTGTACTGTTTTAATATATTTTTGTTTACAAAGGAGGAGAGAAAAAATCCTGGTGGATGTTGACACAATTGTGAGATCACTGAGTTTTTAGCTTCTTCCTGAAGGAATGTAATTTTCCCTCCTAAGGTCTCTGCATTACGGGATTTGGCAAATTATGTCAGAAAGATTCTTTCAGAAGACTTTGAGCCTCTTCTGCTCCCTGCACTTGTACATGGACTGACAGGTAGCCTCAGTAGAGCCTCCTCAGGTGTGTTACAGGTGGACTGGCCACAGGCAGGCTGGATAATAGTCCCCAAAGAAGACTTTGCAGCCATAGTACCATATTGAGTAGGTGCTGTGGCTTCTCAACCCACCTGCCCTCTTACTGCCATTGCTGTGGTGCCTGGTGAGGGAGGTTTGCCGTTCTCTTAGTGGGAGGAGGTTTCTGTGCTTGACTGCTGAGAGAACTGGTTTGAGACTAAACCCAGGTCTGTCGGGAGCCAGCTGCAGCAGCCCAGCTCTGTTGGGGAGGTGCAGCTGGCCTGCTCTTCTGGCACTCAGAGGGTGAGACTGTTGAGGCCATGTCCTGGCTTCAAGGGGAGACATCTCTGGGTTTGGGGCAATGCTGGTGCTATTCAGGAAGTTAATATTTGAGCCATTCACCTCAGTCATGCAGTCTCAGTAAGACACATTTGGATGCTGAACAGTTATCAGAAATACAGGTCTCCATGAAGCAGAGCAGGCTCACAAAGGGCAAGTCCCAGAGCACAAGGCTTGGGAGTAACCAGTCTGCTGGTGACACCAAACATCCTCCTTGGCAGTGCAAAGTGATGGAGTCAAGATGCATTATTCTTCATTCATTATCTTTACCAAAAGAAAAAAAAAAAAAGAGGAGAAAGGTTCCTAGCCCAAAACATAAGCTCATTGCTCCTCGTTCAAGAAAAGGCACCAGACAAGATGCTTTCTACTGTCTCTCTCACAATCATAGGCAGTGATTCGGGAAAGAGGAGGTTTATGCCTTGGTCACGTCCCTGCCTCAGCAGAAACCAGCTTCCCTGTGAGTGCCAGGGAGCTGGGGCCCTGCCAGCGTGCTCTCTAACAAGTACCATGGGAGCTGCAGCTCTGCAGCCTCTGGGACTGTTGTGCCTTGTACTACCTTGGCTCCAGCACACCTTGGGGCCTCTGACAGTGCTTCGCTGCTGCTGCAAACAAGCAGCAGCTAAATATGATTCACATCTTATTATCCATATAAGTGCTGGTACTTACTGTCTCCAAGGTCCCCTGTGCTGAATAAATTCAAGAATCTGAAGGCAAAAATGTCATTCTGCCATACTGCTTCCAGGAACAATTGCTTCTTGCCTTTCAAGGGAGGTAAGGAGCCCGCCAGGGCCTTACGAGTTTTGAAGTAATGCCCATTGCAGGAGCAGTAAAGAGGCAACACAGTCCATCATTTGCCATCTGTGCCCTCGTGTCTGTTGCCTCTGAGGCCTGTCCTTTGCAATGCTGAGCGGAATGAGACAAGAGAGCTGTACAGGACTGGGATCATTGTAGTGGGATGTCTTATGGGACAGTATCACCCCTGTGCTTCTGTAGAACGGTGACAATTCTACCACAGAGAGAGGAAGGGTGGAATTGCAGTGGAGCCAGAGAATTGTTGCCTAACAAAAGAAAATCCTAAACTAAACAAGTAACACAAGTGAGCAACTTTTGCCCATTATTTGTATGGAGAAGGTTTTTCATGAAGAATGTGGTTAGAATTTATATATATATATATATATTTCCCCAGAGAAGCTTAGCACTCAGTGTTAATAGACAGATCAAAGAGCTACTTAGTCACAAGAGCCAGGGAAATTGAACCAGGGCAGCAAAATAAAAATCAATCTGACTTTTAGCGTGTTTAATGTGATTTCGTTCAGAACTGACTTCTGCATGAGTACTTAGGAAAGCTTAAGATCATGAGAAGTTTGAGTTACTTGAGCCAAACTCTGTGTCCCACTCTCTTTGCTTTTTGTGAAATGACAAGAATGTTTCCTAGCTACAGAATGATTTCAGATCTTCCCTGCCTTACCCATTAGTCTTACCACCTTCTTCTGCCTTATTGTTTGCAAGATTATTCCACAGGATCACATACTATAAAGAAAGGAATAATAGCCTGCTCACCAGTACATTTCTGGGTCCTTGACTTGTGAGTAATGCTGTCCTTCTCTAAGTATGCTAGTAAAAATTTTATCCTTGCCTGTGTAAAGGACACATTTGTTAAATGAAAGCTATTCTAAGAAGGTGTTGAATATTAAAAAAAAAACAAAAAAAACCCCAAAAAAACAACAAAAAATAATAAAAGGGAGGGGGAGGATATTTCTTCAATCCCTCAGATCATAAACTCAGATAATAACTCAGCCTGACAAGGATAAAGAAGATAAAATCCAGATATCTCAAACAGCTCCCTGATTGTGTGGACCACAGCAGTTCTCCCAGGGCTGGAAGCCAATACGGGGTTTCACGTAGGAGGTAGAATCTCCCATTTCTTGCTTGCTGCTTCTGTGGGCAAAGCCCCACATTTCAAGATCCAGTCCCAGATTCAGTGAGTCATATTGGAGGCATTGAATTGTGCAGATAGTGAGCAAACATTTCTTATCTGGAAGAGAAACTCCTCATTTGGAAGAGGCTCCTTTTCTTCTGTGAAACTAAAATTTGGAAGAGGCTCTTCTTTTTTTTTCTTTTTTTTTTTTTCTATGAAACTAAATTTAAAAAGCAGCAGCTGTCTGCAGCTTTTCTAAAGTCTAGAATATTAAAATATACCTTAAAAAAACACGGATTCAACTAAGTATTTGGGAACTAAAAAAAAAAAGACTTTATTAATGGAGTTCAACAGTTTAACATGATAATCTCAAATTTGGGGTTCAGTCACCCTTTCTTCCCCAGTCTAAGATTAGATACAAAATAGGCTAGAATTTATGTATTTATTTTTTAAATTAAAAGATGCAAAAATAAATAAAATGTAAGCTCAGCTACATTAATATCCAGGACAGGACTGTGGTTATATAACAAAGTGGGCAAAATATTTTGCTTTTTCCAAAATTCCCTTTCCTCCTAAGCTGTTTGTTCCTTAGGCTAAGAACAAAAGAGATTCTAAGTCTTTGCAGCCTGGAGAACTACTTGTGCTCTTTTTCTTTGTAGCAACTTTTTCCATACTTTCAATAATTATAATCTCTCCCCTCAATTATTTCGTCTTTACATTAAAGATTTATCTTATGATCTTTCCTCCCTATTCATGCCAGGACTGCTTTTATGGAAAGGTGCAAACCACTGCATATATTAACCATGTATTGCAGGCTCTAGGCATTCCAGGGGCTTTAACTTGAGAGGGTAATACCTGTCACAGCTCATTTTAGCTGCTCCTGTAAGACTCTGTATGGCATGAAATGTGCTTCAACTCATCTGATCTGTTTCAACCATAGGACAGATTAAAGGAAAAAAAACAAAGCAATGCAGACAAAGGGATATTAGAAAAAAAAATAAGTTGGAGATGTAGACTCCCTTTGTTTCATAAAATACTCTCCAAAATAGTTAATTACAGAGTCTTCATTAAGACAGATCTTACAGGACAATGTTGCCACTGTAGCATGTGTTCCAAGAATTAAGAAGCCTGGGACCCATCAAAAGCAGCATGACTTCACACTTATTTGACATCCAACATTTCCACTCCACCTTTCCAAGCAGGCACATAAAACTGGGTCTTACTGTAAAGAACTTAAAACACACCAGACACGGGCCCCTGGCAAAGCAGTTTCCCTGCTGCCTCAAGGCTGATGCCTGGATAAGAGAGGAGTCCATTTGGGAGAGGAGAGTCCTGGCACACAAAAACCAAGGTGTGACTGAGGGTGGAGGAACCCACACAGGAAAGTTTAATATTCCAGAGGCACGGAAGCCTCTGAAGTCTGGGCAGCCACATGAAAAGCAGGTGCCTGTCCGGGCACGCGGATTATCGGAGAGGATGAGAAGCTCAGCACCACAATTACGCATCATCTTGTGACTGGTGTGAAAGCTGCCAGGAGCAAGGACGCTGCTGCACCCGAGCTGATGGCTCCCTCGAGACAAGCTGCAAAGTGCTGAGTGCCCAGAGCTGCAAAGGGAAGGCAAGTGAATCAGCAAGGGGCAAGCCAGTCCCTAAGCACTGTGTGGTGCAAAATTGTATCAGCATGAAGGTAATGCGCCAAGATGAAAGCAAAGAGAGATGTTCCTTTGTTTATAAACATGCCAGAGACAACGAGGTTACTGTGGAAAGTAATTTTATTTCAGAATTCCACACACTCTGTCACAGATCATGCACTTGGACTTTCCCCTTTGCAAATCCACAGCCTCCAGGCCTGAGAGAGATGAGGCATCATCTCTTCACTTCTCACTGTGTGCCCACATGCTAAGAATGAGGGCCCTAATGGCACCTTGCCGGGGGCAGAAAGCAGCCTCTTGTTTCCATAATTGCCTTTAAACATGGGAAAAGAAATCCATCTGACTTGAAAGATTAGCAGTGGAGCTCAGCAGCAGTGAAACCCACAGCTGAGCAAGTTGGTCCTCACCCTGTGGTTACAGGGAGTAAGACGACAATCTTATGGGAAGCTTGTGTGAGCTAAGCTACAGCAGAACACACGGAGACATTCTTGGAGCTGAGGCAGCCACCAGCCCAATGCGTGCCCTGGGCCCCTTACAATCAATCTGTCTCTGAGCTGCTCTGCCAAGAAGGTGGCCAGGAGCTGCCCTTTTCACATTCAGCTTTAGGTTCTTCTGCTCTGTGCTTCAGGTTTGACCAGGAAGTAGCCTACCTGTAGGTAAGACAGCCCTCCAGGCTGTACATCAACACATGTACTGCATTTAATACTGAAAGGTGCCACTTCGAAAGACTCTGCAACGTTCTGTTTGACCCACAGGCTGGGTGCAGCATTACTGGAAGTTTCCTGCATACTTACCCTACACCTTCTTCCCTGCTTCTATTGCCCCTTATACCTGACCCTGCTCTCAAATTATTCCTTGTTGCAGTGTCCCTGTGACCCATCACATCTTTGGCCTTTGTCAAGACTGCCACTGCCAGGGCAGCTATTGCCTGCTGTGGTGACTGCCTGTAGGAAATGATATTTGCCTCCTGAGAACAGGCTCATGGCTAGCTCAGAGGAGGGCAAAACTGAAGGGAAGAAATGATGGTGATGGTTGATGCAAGTGAAGTGGAGCAGAGTCTACAGAAAAGGCAAAAAGGCAGCTTCAGTCTCCATTTGATACACAAACTGAGCTCAATAGCAGCAAAAAATGGCCATAAAATATTAATTCATTAGGTTGCCAGGAAGAAGTAAAAGCATTCATGTAAAAAATTATATATACAGATATGTATGTGACAACGGTTCTCAAGTTATATCTCACTTTTTCTTTTTTTTTTTTTTTTTAATCTAGAGTTTTAATAATTTCCAACCACACTGCTGTTAAAATGTGAAGACCACAGTACTGGAGTCAGCACCAAGTGAGGGGTGACATCACACTGAAGAAATGAGCTTTGGGAGAACTCCTGACAACCCAGATATTTTAATATTTTTGTTGACCTTCAAGTAATTAAAAACAAGGGGAATTCCCCCCAAGAGTCTGTAGGCTCCGAGTCTCATCTGTCTGTTTTTAGGGTAGGAAGGCTGACATCAGAAAGGCAGTGGGGGGCAAGGGAAGGAAGAGGGAAAAAAAATCTGGGAACCAGAGTGAAGAGCAATCAACAGTTGACCAACACTGACTGCTGCAGAACTTACAAAACACAAAGTCATACAAACGGGATTCCTGTTAACTTTGATAGACTATAGACTTTTATATACACACACAGACTTCAAAGTACACATCTGGCAGTCTAGAAAATACCAGTACCCTAAGGATTAAATAATTTAAAATGCAATGTTGCATTATCACTGTATACAGAATGCTATCTGACACATTGGTTAAAATGGACGGATTGTCCGAGAAAGATGCTCCCTCCCTCACCTCACCAGCACTGCCTCTAAAAAGAACCCAGTGTGAAAGACTTCCCTCCGTGGTTCCACTCCTAAAATTCACCTTGAAACTTCTCTGTCAAAGATGGGGGAAGTCCTGAGAGGAAGGGAGCAGAAAAGGATTCCTACTCCCTCCATACTCTGCTGCTGTAGTACTCCTCTCCACTGGCTAAGGAGGCTGGACAGCAAGGATGAAAAAAGTTGCTAAAGCAGGGAAAAGGCAATTATGTGTCTGAAACAATAGTTAAGCTGGTCTTTTGAGATACACACAGAGCTCCAGACTTGGGGGACACCTCTCCCACTTTTTGAAGACAGCAGGTGGCTTAATGCAGCGTCCATAGCCTGAGAGCAGCCACAGAAGGAATGGGCAGAACTGCAGTGCCAACAGGTCCAAACACACGGGAAGGTGTGCCCTCACCAGCTTTTTAAGAATATTTGTAAAATGGGAGCACTGGAAAGTCAGCACATGGGAATGAGGAAATGGATGGACAGCCTCAGTTCTGAGGAGGAGACCAAAGCACACAGAGCAGATGGCAAAGCTAATATATCCCTAAATGCCAGCTTTGTACATGTATCCTAATACCAGTGTACAGGACAGAACCTTGCTGATGACACTAGTTCAGTTCCGTCACTTTCACAGCCTTTAGAGCTGGTGAGAATCTGGCTTGTGTGTGCTTATTCCAAAGCCCTTTGAGGCATGTAGTCTTGTTTCCACCTCCAGTAAACCAGAACAGCCCTAAGGTCTTGGGGAAAAGATGAAAAAAAAAAAATCCCCATTCCCATGGGTGGCTCCCACCCCTTCCCTATAATCACCCTCTCTTCCTCTAGGCCAGAGACAACTGAAGAGCTGCCTTGTTCTCCACTCCCGAGGCCATTCCCATTAGATCTGGCTAGGCAGGAACAGCAAGCTCTGCTCCTTCAGTCTCATCACACAGCCAGACCACAAAGGTTCCTTCCTCCCCTGGGACAGCTTCAACAAGAATTGCCCATACAGGAGGTTGTGCTGAAGCAGACTGGACAAATTTTGGCCCTTAATCCTGAACCCAGCTTGCAAAGGATGAGAAAGCTCTGTGGGAGCAGGAGCTGTGGGAATTCTCTAGTTTCAAGCTCTACAGCCCTAAATACTGCCAGTGTAATCATTATCCACTCAAAAATACAAAAAGAACCCTATCCAAAATATCTCACTCAGTCTGCCCTGCATGACTGGGCCAAAAGGACATAAAAGAAAGGAAAGTGAGACAGTGTGGGACAGCAGAGAGAAAGAAACATGGGGCAAAGTCAGGCTGGAGGAAATTAAACAACCTCAGTGCAAGTTTGCTAAAATCATCACTGGATTTACCAGCCCAGTTCCACCTTCTTCAAACCAAAAAGGGTTTGCTGCACTAAGTGTACTACAGAAGAAAGAAGTGCATAGTTTGGTTTATTTTTTGGTAGACACTTAAACTCACAGAATTTATGTGAAGATCTCAGAGCAGTTTTAGCCAATGGGTACCTGTTGGGGCAGAGATGGTGGAAATGGACCAGTAGCACCAAAAAATTCAGTGGGAGCACTAACTCCACAGCAGGAATTACTAAGGAACCAAAAGTGGGGAGTGGTGAAGAGAGGGAGAGAGAGAGAGAGGGGGAGATAGGGAGAAGTGGAGGAGACATAATTCGCAGTAATCAAAGTCTGCATTGGCTAAACCCTATCAACACTTCCCTAGGTAAGGCCCCATTACGTCTGCAGCAAGACCTCTGGCTCTGACAGAGAGCTGTAGAGTGTGTAGCCCAACTCATCCACTTCTTCGGGGGTGAGCTCTGAAAACAAGTTCACCTTGGGGTTCAGGGCACTAGGGAGGACCCCTGCCTCCAAGTAGCGGATCAGCCCCTTCAGTGCCTGCAAGAAGCGATCAGCCAGCATGTCCTGGGACCAGTCGGACTCCTCCTGGGAGAGGTGCAGGATGACATTGGTGAGCTGGCTGGCAGTGAGGTGTCCCAGAGCTGGGTTTAACTTGCATACTGCTTTGAAGATCTTGAGGCACAAGCAGCGGCAGCCAGAATCAGCCTGGTCCAGGGCGTGGAGGCGAGCCGTTTCCGCTGGCCGCAGGCTCAGTCGCCACAAGTTGTCATTCTGGGCCAATCTGTGAGGTTTGGCAACGAGGACAATGTCCCCCAGTGTCAGGGATGGTAGAAAGTCAATAAAAAGATGCCGATCTGCATCATACTGGACTTCCAGCGTCAAATCTGCTGGGGGAGCTGCTGGACGGATCACATAGTCCAAGAGACTCCCAATTGCTGGCCAGTTGATGGACCCAGCTACAACTTTCTCAAATGTGTCTGCTACAGTTTTGGGGGAAAGGTAACCTCCCACCACACAGCGGTCCCAGTAGCTGCTCCCGCGAGGAAAGTACTCTGGGTTTTCTCGACGCACCAAGTAGAAGCCAGGAATGTTCATGATAGTGTCCTCCCCAGGGATACACGACCACAGGTTCTGCTCCAGCATGAGAGGTACAATGAGCTGGATGTGGTCAGCTGTCACTACCTTTCACAAGAGAGAAAAGTCAGTAAGAATAAGCTTTCTCTCTCCACATTAATTTTATTCACCACCTTTAGATAGCCTTTTGTCCAAATGAACCTGGAATAAGGATTCAGCTGTTTCACTCTCCTCTCTGCGTGGGATTCCCAGCCTCCTTTTGTTCAAAGGCATTCTGAAGGACTATTTCCAACAATCAGTGGGATAATTCCAAGGTAAAGCTGAAGCTAGTGCTTACGTGGTATGTACTATTTAGAGACCTGACATGGACTGAATATAGATGAATCATTCTGCCTCATACTGCTCTAAGTCTGCTCCTTGGTCGTGAGATGCAGCTGGCCTAGGGCACGACAACACCACATGACAATTTACACAGGAGACAGAGTATTAAGTTTCTTGACAAGCTTCCATTGCCACGGTTTAATAATCCAATGCTACAGCTAGGTACACTGCCCTCACCTGGTCTGGCACATTGTTTGGAAAAAGGTCATTAAAGATCCCTTTTCACCAATGTGATTAAGACCCCAGGTCTAAGTTTCACTGGACATTCCATGCTCCATTCCAGAGCTCTGATTCAAAGAAAGAAGTGTGCCTCTGAATCACTCACTATAGCCATGGGCATCTTGCCATCAGGGAGATATCGCAGCAGGGACTGCTGTCCAGTCCTGGTCTGTCATGCATTTACATTTAGAAGAAAAAAAAAAAAAAAAAAAAAAAGGATAGGAAAGACCTACATGAATATATGAGAGATCTAAGAGAATATAATGTATTTGGATGGTTACAGAAGGATGGAGAGAAAACAGATGTCTACCAGAGAAAAAGCAAGAAAAACACAGCTAAAAGGAGAGACAGAGGGGAAGCAAAGAAGGACTGAGATATTTTGGAGAAATAAACCAGCAAAAAGCACAGGCTTTGCAGACAATGACAGAGCAGCTTGGTCATGCCTGTTCAAACAGCACTGTGGAAATCATTGCCTGGCTCCACAGCGGGAAAGGCAGCACCAAGGGCCTTATTACAGAGGAATGCTGTGCTGAGCCAGCAGTGCCAACAGGGAAGCCTGAAACGCCGCTGCGTGGTCAGCCTCCTGAATAAGGAGCCGTGATACTTCCCCAGGAATTACCTGCAGGTCATCGTAGAGGCTGCCGCTGAGGTACATGTCCCGCAGGGGCATGTCGGGCAGTTTGGCGCGCAGGAAGCTGCGCAGCTCCGTGCAGATATCCACGGCCGCCTGCTTGGCCCGAGCCTGCTCGTCCGCCGGGATCGCCACCCGCCGCCGGTAGTACGCAAACAGCTTCTCCTGCAAGGACAGGCGAAGGCGGGATTTCTTCAGCTCCACCTGACTCCTCTTGGCACATGGCTTGGGCTTTGTGGGTCGAAAAACGTCTGCAAGACAGAAGGAAAACTGTTGAGGTTGCAGCTGATCTCTCTGTGAAGCATTCCGCAGAACAGAATCTGCAGCACGTAACTGCGGTCTCCCAGGTCTCAAAAAGCCCTTGGCAGACATTTTGCAGGCTTTATGCAGGTACCAGTCCAAAGGGGCGTGCTGAGGAACTTCAAAACATACTATAAAGAGCATCAAAATGGATGAAAACAAGTTACTAGATTCGAAATTTAGCCACACTAATATTGTGTACAAGGATCTTTTTTTAATTGCTAAGTGGGCAGTATCTCAGGTCAACTTCATCAAAAATTCAGTGCTGTTACCAGTTCAAAAGCTTTCAGTGTGATGCCACACCAGCGAATAAAACACTTTTGAATAACCATCATGATCTCTTTTGAGTTTTTAACATTGAAACAGGTTATTACAAATTACCAGCGAAATCCAGTCCTGACTAGCATATGAGATCAGAGAAGACTGTGCCACCTGGAAATGAAATAGCTGTTGGGAGTCTGATCAGCACAGTTATTGGGATGATGAGCTGACAGATCCTGGGGCCATCATAGTTCCAGTGATAGCTCCCTGAAGCCTTCACTGGAAAAAGATCAGAGAGCCCACTCAGAGGCACAATGCCACAACACAAGGTTTACACTGCCATCTGCGTTACTAAACCATGTCCGACCTGCACAGATTCTCTGAGCCCCTTTTTTTCTGACTGGTTTCTCAAAGAAATAAATCAGTGCTTCCCATCCATTTCAGATTTCTCTCAACATGGACAAAGAGTCTCAAAAGTTAACAATGAGAATTAAAGGGGAATTACAGATCTAAGAGAACTTGGGAAGGGCTGTGCTACCTAAGGGGTGCAGCAGAAATTCCCAAGTCAGTGGCCCCATTAAAGCAAATGGCTGTTGCAGATTTGTTTGGTGTGGGCCACACAGCACGTGAATAATGGCTGACCAAGCTGTACACATACGCATCTAGCCCAGCCTCAGCAGCTGGGTGCTGTCTCTTGTCCCACTGGGTTCTTTTGGACAGATATGAGCATTTTTGTGTTAAGGAAATAATGCACAAAACCATCAGGAACTGGATTTTATTGCCTATTTATGAGAAAAGGTTTTTTTCCATACTGAGTTTTAATTTACTTCTAATTGAAGAATTTAGACACCATCATTAGTGTTTTTATTATTCTGTCCATATGCTTGGGGACTCCAATCAAATTATCTAGGTCCCATTTAACACAGCTGTCTAGTTTTCAATGTTTCCTCAGCAAAATACCTACTGCCATCCCAAAGATAACTTCCTTTAAAATAATCTGGAAATCAAGTTAATAGCTTGATTCTGATTTTTACTTTAAATCTCGACATGTAAATCTCCAGAAATGAGTGAACAGGGATAGAAAGTAAAACCATTGAGAACAAAGAACAACCACACGTAACAAAACATGGTTGGATTCTAAACTATTGATTATCCCACCCAGAAAGAAAACTTCAGGACACTTCCTATAGACTACTGAAGACAAACACAGTGATAAGCAGCATTAAACAGGGAAATGTCGATCCAGAAATTATTTGGAAAATGGTAGCAATAGAGGAAATAGTTATAAATTGTTAGTAGATCTACAACTCGAATACTACCCCCTTAAAAAGATGCAAGCAAACTGGAATAACCCAAAGAAAGACAAGAGAGTGCCTGAAATCAAGGGAATAGCTTTCTATCAGGAAAGATTAGATATTCAGATTGAAAGAGAAAAAATGGGGGAGAATAAAGTTTAATACCATGAAGTCATGAGAGGAACGAAGAGTGCAAATAGATGACCCATTACTGACTAGCTCCCAATGACAGTTATGATTCTTGAAGTTACCAGTAGACCTGCTTAAAAGAAAAACATAAAAATCCTGGGACAGACAGGGTATTTCCTTCCCTGCATTCCTTTAAACAAATACAGGGTCTATAGGCCTGGACGATTCTGTGATGCAGGAGGATGGCCATGCCTCTTACCTGCATCTGCAGCTGAAGGATCAGTGGGAAGGGTCTGCAGGGAGCGGCTGAGGCTGGTCTTCATGTCCTGGGTCAGCAGGCGTGAGGAGGAGCCCAGCCAGTTTGGCTCTTCCCAGCTTCTCTTTCCTGACTGGCTCAAGCGAGTGGGGCTGCTGGGAGCACTGATTGCCCGGTCGTACATCTAAACCAGGAAGAGTTTGAGTCACCGAGGGCCCAACGCTTGCATTTCACCCAGGCCACTGCCGGCGCCCCGGCTCTTTTCACTGCCCCTCCCCGATCCCGGAGCCGTTCCCGGTGCCAGCCGTGGCACTCACCCGCTTGACGGCCAGCGTGGCGATGCCCAGCATGGCGGCGCCCCCCACGCCCAGCACCAGCCGCGCGTTGGCCAGCACGAAGTCGATGGCGGTGCCGATGCCGTTGTCATCCTTCTTCCCTTTGCGCTGCCCAGCGCCTGCCATCTTACCTGCAAGGAGCAGGAACGTTACGTGCCCGGGCCAAAACGCCATACAGATGGCTCACCCCCTTCTCCCACCCCTCACACCCACTGCTGCCGGGTTCCACCACAGGCAGGGCCCACCCAATCCTGCACCCTCTCTAATTATGTTCCCTCAAAGAGCTGCTTGTTCCCAGCAGTGCCAGGACAGTACTGACCAAGCGAAGTCCAATACCTGAGGGAACACATCCAAATTTGATGTGAGCTTTCTAGTAACTGAATAGGTTTAATGAAAGAAAGTATTTTGCAATAAAATTTCCACAGTATTTTGCAATAAAATCCTGCATATTAAGCAAAACCCTATAACTATTCAGATATTTTTCTTATAATTTGTGCTTCTCAACCAAAACACAGCCAATTTATTTTCTGATTTCTAATGTAACAAGTGTGATTTTGCTCACAGACAAGGCAATACAGGGTTGGTCAACTGTATGGAACAAAGTGGAATATTCCCCAGGAACTGACAGGCAAGGCAGTCTCAGAGCTTCCATTCACAGATTAATTTCTGAATAATGCCCAATCCCAGACACTTCAAAGACACCCAAGAATCAACAGCAGACTGCAACACATGATAAAAGGAACAGCTCCCTTGCCTTCATTTGATGTTTAGTCTTGCCCTCGAGGCTGGTGGGTTTGACTCTCAGACAAATCATGTAAAACACTGACATGAATATTTTCTTACATGTGTACTTTTGTGTCCCCAAACTTCCACTTAACCTGACCTTGAGATTTAATTTATATATAATAAGAGTCTCTCTGGCCAACATGGCCTCAAGCTGTGCCAGGGAAGGCTCAGGCTGGACATCAGGAGGAATTTCCTCACAGGATGGGTGATTAGGCATTGGAATGGACTGCCCAGCAAGGTGATGGAGTCACCATCCCTGGGGGTGTTTAACTTGGACGTGGCGCACACTGCTGTGTTTTAGTTACAAGGTGGTCATCAATCAGAGATAGCACTCCATGATCTCAGGGGCCTTTTCCAACCTCAGTGATTCTGTGATCTTGTAAAACACATTTTACCATCACTGTACCCATATGTGATCCCCATGTAGGCATCATGTAGGATCCCCAGGGAACCTACATGAAAACACCAAAACACTCCTGCACTGTGACTTTAGGTCTGTTTTCTGAGTCTGTGTCCAAGGTTCTGAGCCTGCCTGCCTGATTGAGGTGGTTTAAAACTGGCCTTTGTTTTTTCTAATGCCAAAGCAGGGGGGATGTTCCTGCTTGGATGAACCAAGAATATATTCACTTGTCATCCCCAAGCAGAAAACCCCCTGCACTTTCACAAAGCTCACTGTAACAGAAGCATGAAGAACGCGGTTATATCATTGTAAATGACCTACCTGTGACCTAATGCATTTGTGAAGAGAACAGGAGAGCCCTCCTGGTGTGCCTGTGGAAGCACCTCCAGGACTTCTTCAAGAAAGTGGTGGGTAGTGAGTGTTAATCATCTCTTCTGGCTGGCGAGGGGATTTTGGAAAGAAGAGGCAGGTAAGTGGGACCAGCGGGGGCTACAGGGAATCTCTAAACCAGGCCCCCGAGCCTGCTTTGCAGGAAAGCCTGTCCCTTCTCCAGCTGCCTTTCCTTGTCCTCCAGCCGCTGCAGCCCCTGGTTCCGGCGGAACTCGCGGCGGATGGAGGCGAGGTAGAAATCCCGGTCGGTGTAGCGCAGGCCGCGGCCGCGGCGCAGCAGAGCTCGGTACAGAGTCAGCACCGCCTCCCGGGACCACGCGGCCATGGGGGACAAGTGTGCGGCGCGGGCGGGCGACCTGCAGAGGAGTGACCGAGGGGCGGGATCCGGGTCAGCTTCTCCCTTCCCGAGGGACCCGCCGGCAGCCGCCTACCGCTCCTTAGCGGGCCCCGCGCGGTGCCGGGGCCGCGTGTCCAACGGCGCGGGGTAACGGCCGGGCCGGGCCGGGGCGCGGGGCCGCTGCAGCCCCGCGGGAGCAGCGCGGCCGCCCCGTTCTCACCGGGCTGCGCGCGCGGGGCCGCTCCGGGGTCACCCGGCAGCGCCGCGCTTCCGCTTCCGGGCCGCGCCCCGCGCCCGCCAATGGCAGCGCCAGCTCCGCGGGCAGCGAGCCGCGCGCGCCTGAGGCGGCGGCGGCGCGGCGCTGCCGCCCCCTGGCGGCCGGGAGGGGAGCTGCGTGTGCCCGTCCCACCCCGGCAGCCCGGGATGCTCCCGGCCGGGAAGGGCCCGCTGGCAGCCCGGGCTCCGTGTGCCCTGAGGGGCTCCGTGTGCCCTGAGGGGCTCCGTGTGCCGTGTGGGGCTCCGTGTGCCTTGCGGGGCTCCGTGTGGGGCTCTGTGTGCCGTGTGGGGCTCCGTGTGCGGCTCCGTGTGCCTTGAGGGGCTCCGTCTGCTACAGCCCAGCGCGCTGGGCTGCTGGCCCCGGGAGACAGCGTGTCTGCCGTGCGCCATGGAATCACGGATTCCGTTAAGTTGGAGAAGACCTCTGAGGTCATGGAGTCCAGCCTCTGACTGAACAACACCTTGTCAACCACATCATGGCACTGAGTGCCACGTCCAGTCCTTCCTTAAACACCTCCGGGGACGGTGACTTCCACCATCTCCCTGGCAGCCCATCCCTAATGTCTAATTCCCTTTCTGCAAAGGAATTCCCCCTAATGTCGAACCAGAACCTCCCCTGGAAGAGAGAAGTGGGTCAATGCTGCATCTCAAGGTACTTCTGACTTCTGGGATGCTTTTTTACAGACTAACTTGTCAAATTCAAGCTCTTTATCTCCAAGGAGCCCCCAGAGACCAGGGCCTGGTCTGGAAGGGCAGTAGCTGGCAGCCTCTCTGTGGTCTGCCTGAGCTGATGGAAGGAGACTCCCAAAGCCAGAACTTTTGCTCCACTGTCTGGGTGCAAATCCCACCTTTCCTTTTTCACCTCTACTATGAGGGGTCTCTGGGGCATATATATTTCTCCTTGGCCATCGCCTCCTCCCTAGGTCCTACCTAAATATAAAACATAATGTGCTGTGCCTCTCTTGGAGGGGAGGGTGAAAGAGCAAATGGTGTGTGACAGAGGAGAGCCACATCACTTCACACAATTCTCAGCAACACTAGATATGACAGTGATAGAACTGAACAGGAAGAAAAACAGAACTTCTGGACTGGCTCACTCTGTGCCAATCTCCTCTTGTTCATTTCCTTTCTGAGATAAACAACCCCAATCATTTTGATCTCTCTCTGAGCGAATTTGCCATGCCCCTAATCAGCCCTTTCTGAGAAGGGCTTACTTGAACTGCAGACAGTATTCCCAGAGAGGCCGCGCTAGTGATTTACATAATAGCATTATCATATTTACCATATTATTCCCACTTTCTTCCTTCTGCGTGCTAATATTTTGTGTGTGTTTTTTTTTTTTAACCTGCAGCTACTCTCAGAGCCAGGGTTTGTGTGACACCCTTATTATTTCTTGGTTTGCTAGAGAACATCTGGAGCTTTGTAATTCTTATGTGCAATTAGTATTCCCTCTTCTGACCTTGCACATATCCAGTTGATCCTTGGCAAATATGTGGTGTTCCCCATTTGCCACATTTGCATTTTACTCGGTCCTTTTTGATCTCCTTAAGAGTCAATAGCTATGAGTCATCTTTTTAAAAAGTTCGATATATTGCTTGTCTTTGTTTCCAGATCATCAGTTCATATACTGGGCTTTCCAAGACCTTGGAGGCAGCATTCATATTCCCTACTCTTAACCTGCTGCCAGAATGAAAATCAGTCTTTGGACCTTCCTCCCAGCTTCCTTCCTCCTCCTTGGTTTCTTAGTCCTCAGAAATACTTCCCTCCTCACAAGTGAGAATACTTCCCTTCTCTGTCACCCTTGGGCAAGTGTGCCGATGAGCCCAGTCCCCAAAGCTCCCAGGTCCGGGTCAAAACTTGAGCAGCCACATGTGGCAAACCCCTGGTGCACTACCAATGGGATCTGCTGGGTCAGGCAAGCAGTGATGGACTTCCCTGCTGTCCTCCTGCCATGGCAGCCAAGGACTGCCACCTCCATAAGCGCCCCTTTCCCAGCCTGGCCCGCTTGGGTTGTGCCTGTTTTGGTGTTTCTCTCTGTTCTTTCCCCCCCAGGCTGGCTGCCAGCTCCCGGGCCCCTCGCCAGCAGCTGCGTGTGCGTGCTGTGAGCTCCTCCACCCACACTGTGCAGCGTCTCCAGAGTGCCCCAGCCCCTGCAGGGACATCACTCGCTGTGCCCGCTGCCCCCGTGGGCTGCCCACGCCTGCATTGTGTGGGCGGGGACCTCAACCTGCCCCTTCTCTCTTGCAAAGAGGAGGGTGAGTGTCAGGGCCGAGCAGCACACGACTGACACCACTCCAGCTGCCCTGCGAGTGCCCGGCCTCTGGTGACATGCTGCGGGTTGGAAACTTGAACTCTGCCTTGAGACAGTGAAGCAGGAGCCACTCCTTCCTCCAGGGTTTCCCAAACTCCGCTGACCCACTGCATGCAGCTGGTGGGACCCACCCAGCACCCCCAAAGGCTTGTGCTGCCCTGAGGGCCCCAGGGCCCTGTTGCCTGCAGAACCCTGTTGCCTGGTGGCTTTGCCCTTGGACTTACTGGGAATGCGGTTCCCCCGTGATTCCAGCCTGTGTCCCTGTACGAAAGGGAATTTACTTGCTCTGACAGGGCCAAGTGCAGGCAGAAAGGAGGGAGCAGACCTTTGCTGTGCTCCTGGAGAGCAATAACAACCTTTGTTTCTCGAAATGACCAAGTGAGCTTGAAATATCAAAGACACCTTGTGTGACAGGGAACAATAACCCGTGCTGTTACCTGGAATAAGACTAAGACATTTCCCCGTCTTTCGCCTCCTTGGAAGTCTCCGGAGCCACCACTCCTCTGCTGGTCTTCTGATGCTTACAGCCAGTCCTCCCACTCAAGCAGCCACTGCCACAGGCTTCTGGCCACTAAAAACAGCAAATGGCTGCCCCTGAGCCTGGCTTGCAGCCTCTGCTCCTGGGAGCCAAGTGCCATGCCCAGGACTTCCCACCAGGGAGACCAGGACTATCCCCAGCCAGGGAGACATCCCTGTGCTGCCTGTCACCAGCCAGCAAACCCTCTCTGGGCAGCAGGGATGTGAATGTGAGCCTCAGAGCTGCAAATGGCATCTTGGAGGGGCTCTGCAGGGATGGGAAACAAACTGTGCTTGGAAGCAGAAGGCTGGTCTCTTAGGAGGAGCCTGGACAGCAGTTCTAAAACGCAAAGAGGAAGACGGATAGTGACCCACTAATTGTATCTGAGCTTGAGCTTAATATCCTTAGTATCTTCTAGTACATGGACCTCATAGGGGGCCTTTTGGCAGTCTCAGCCCCGTTCAACAGCTCTCTCCTTAATTGCAGCCCCGTTTCTTTACTTTTTGTGAGCAGTCACAAGGATTAATGGCATTTGGGCTCCTGCTCTGCAGCTGTGACGAACTGTGGGGGCAGAGGCCCAAGAGTGGTACACGTGGCTTCCTTCCCTGGAGCCCCAGCAGCTTCAATGTTGAGTGCATATGGGAAGGAAGACAGGTGGTGTGGGAGGAGAGACCACAGGTACATAGCCACCTTTCAAGAAGCACTCCTGATTTAGAGCTGAGATACACATTTTAGTATGGACAGTAAATATTTGATCTGGGAAGCCATGCTCAGGGTATGTTTTTGACAGGAGGAAGAAGGGAAAGGTCCCAGCATCGCTGCAGCTGAAGTGGGGCTTTTCAGATCCCCAGACTTCCATCCCTGCAGTGCAGGGGGCTGCAAACACTGTCAGCAGCAAATGTGTGAAGCAGAGCTGCTTGTCCCTGTGAGGGACTGCACTGACTGTCACTGAGGAGGCTCAGTTTTATTACCTAACACATTGAAATTGCTTCTGTAGTACTTTCACAATTGGTCTGTGCTCACCTTCACTCCCAGTGCGACTTGTGTTTCTTCAAACAAATTTCCCTGTGGCTGGGTTTGTTGGGGACTTTTCTCATTATTCCCTGACTAGTAAGATTCCATCCCCTGGCCTCCCCCACCCTATTTTTCACTCTGCACCAGCTACATGCTGCAGGAGGTTTGCAGAGCCATTCAGAGACCCTGCTTTTGTGAGTGCTGTTGTCCTTGCAATCATGCATCCCTACGACAGCCCCTGTTTTCTGCAGGGAAAGAGTCGGCAGAGAACAGAGGGCTTGCAGCTGGTGGTACCACCTGCCTGAGCTGAGCTGCACATGCTGACCTCAGGCTTTCTTGTGCTCCTTCACCTGCTGTGTGCTGGGATGAGGCCACGCCGAACATGGGATTTTGATTTGTGTAAGGGTCATCTGGACTCCAGCATCAGATGTGGTTTGGCCCCATGTATGCATAGACCACCTGAGAAGGGCATGGCTGCTGTATCCTGCTGTTTCTCTGCTTTTTCTAAGCAAAGGCACCTATTGCACACCTTGCCCCATTAGATCACGGGCACTTAGATGTATTTCTGTCCCATTTACCAGGTTTTGGTTTTGCTGTGGTCTGACATTCACTTCTGGGTAACAGTTTTAAGACAAATGCTTTAAAAACACTGCAAAGCAAAAAGAAGTGGGTAGATGTTTTCTACATTCTTTTATTTTTGTGTGTATGCCTGGTTCTTAGTAAGTGTCTGAGGGGAAAAAAATATATATATTTATATAACTGATGATTTGTTTCTCTCTCTTTGGAAAAAGTCCAGACTGTAGAACAGGGCTAAAATGCCAGGAAAGAATTTGCTGCATAGAGACAGGCTTATGTTATTTTATTTTATGCATTCCTTGGATAACATATTTTCTTTAATTTCAGATCCTGGAGAAGTCATTTTAGACCTTTATTCAGCACAGCTTATTTGCTCTTCTTCTCAGTTTTCCTTATTTTTAGAAAGGTGAAGTGCATTCCCAAATTAAATCGTTACTGGGATGGACTTCAGCCAAGAGGATCCATGGTTCAAGCCATAAGGCACAGGAAACACAAGAGTAAAACAATGGAGTTTTATATTGTGTTTCATATGGCAGGGTGAGGAGAGATATGGCC